AATATATGTTTCTCTCTTATGGTTAAGATCTTTTTACAATCATGGAAAAAAATTTTTTATTTACGTTATAGTTTTTTTGAGTATATTGTTATATTGAAAATTCTTTTCTAACCATTTTCTTTTGATGATACATTTTTTATAATGTGGAAAAGGTCTGTTCAAAATAAGAAACACTTATTTAATTGATAGTTAATTTTATTTGATGTATTTACAATAACACACACACGCATATATATATTTATTTAAAAAAAACTAAACATTTTTTAAAGAATGTACCTAAAATTGTCGCTGGAGTGGAATAATTACACAAATCACATAGGAAGTTATCAATTTTAGATTTTACTATAAATAATGGAATCAGAGATTACTAATTCAGAATTAGGTTCCTGGACTATTCTTATGTTTTATCACTCTGTGCCCATTATAGGTGTAGGTCGTGTGCAATGTAATTGTTTGTGAGATGTTTTGTGTGCTCTCCTGTCCTGCTGATGCTTTCTGCCAACTAGATGGATATGGCTGTGGAGCCTGTACAGTGCCATCTGTTGGTAGCAACTGTTATGTGCACTACCTGAACAGCAGCAAGGAAGTGGACTTGGCAGGGGTTCTCAGTCGGAGTACCAGAGCTCTGTCACAGGAGGTATCCAAGAACCCTCAATTGATCAGCTACTGGTAGGAGAGCTAATCTTACATATTTCTTGGTTCACACTGACCAATATACACGCATAAAACTACAATAAACATATACCAACGTCGGATGCTTCAGATGTTTAGGCCATATTGCCTGTAATTCAATTACCCCAGGCAAATTTTTCTTTCATTCAAGATCGGGGAAGGATTACAAAATCAGATATCGTATCAAGTGTACTACAACATATGTATCGCAACATGTCGGCTTATGTACATCTGGAAAACCTGTTAATTAAGCCAATTTGAGCCATGTGATTGCAGTGTCATCACGATCAGATGATTCAGGTCGGCTGGTAAGGCTGCAGGGGGATTTCCTGGGTTGTCAGGCAGGTCCCTGATTGCCACGGAGGATAAGAATTTGGGCTTGAGGGACCTATTGTTAGGGCGTGTTATGCCACCTTAACGGTGTTGAAGGCCTGGATTTCTTTTTTACATCCCATATACTTATGGTTTAAATGGTGCTCTTTCCTTTTATTATTTGTTAAAAAATGTTTAATAACCAGTTAAATGAAGACTATAGAGTCTATACAAACGTATTCCTTACCCCAGGGGTTCCCAATTAATTTTTCCCGTGGAACCCTTTGACAGTGCATCTGCCTCTTCTTCCCAACACCTCTAAAGGTTCTGTCCTTGGTCCCCTACTGTTCTCCATCTATACTGCCTCCCTTGGTAAACTCATCAGCTCCGTTGGCTTCCATTATCATATATATGCAGATGACACACAAATCTACCTGTCCTCTTCTGATCTCTCTCTACCCACCTTGACTCGTGTCTCACCCAGTCTCTGATTGCCTCTCTGCAATTTCCACTGGATGGCTGCTCACTTCCTTAAACTCAACCTGTCCAAAATAGAACTACTGGTCTTTCTTCCCTCAAGTGTTGCTACACCCAGTCTCCACTCATTCAAAAATCTTTGAAAACACTTCTTCAGAAAAGCACAGAATTTAAACTGTTCGCATGTTTTCATTATCCCCCACCCCCCTGCCGATATGATTCCTCTCCTGCAACTGTCAAAAATAACCTAAGTTCTCAGTGAATACATTTCTAGCAACCTATTTCATTACCCCTACATATACCCTTTGTGTCACTATACCCCACTCCCTCTAGGGCCCTCAACCCCTCTGTTCCTGTGTGTCCATTTGTCTGGTACAATTACATGTGTTAGTTCACCCATTGTACAGCGCTGCATAACTTGCTGGTGCTATATAAATAATAATATTGTGGAATTCACCCACCCCCACCCCAAAAAAACAATTTTGCGCCGTTGCTTAAACCTTTTTTTGTATGTGCCAGTGTGCATCTGTGTTTGTATGTATCTGACACAAATACACACTGGCAGACAGATAGACACAGTGTGTATATGTATGTATGTATGTATGTATATATATATCTAAAAACACAGATACACACACTGGCACAGTGTCACACAGATACACGGACATACAGACACACAAAACTGGCACATACATACGGATACACACACACACACACATACAGATGTTTAGGCTGGTATACCAGGTGCTTCATACCCGCTGCTCCCTTTCTCCCTCCAGCCGGTGCTCTAACAGGCGCACCCTATCTGGGAGGAAGTGCTGTCACTTCCTCCCAGCATCCCACACAACAGGGGTCCGGTCTCTGTCTTGAACGGCCGTGGCACCTGACCGGACCACTGTTTAGCGATACCCATCTGGTGGCCCTAAATGCTTGGGCCACCCGATGGGCAAATCGCTGTGGAACCCCAATTTTTTTCTCACAGAATCTCATCTAGAGATGCATTGAATTAATGCATCTCTATGAGGAAAGTTCAGTGTGTCCATGCTGAGGATGGATATACTGAATGTCAGTGCTGCACATTGTGCAGCACCTCTAGTAGCCATCATAGGAGTTGCCAGTGGAGGTATCCCTAGGCTGTAATGTAAACACTGCATTTTCTCTGAAAAGACAGTGTTTACCACAAAAAGCCTGAAAGGAAAGATTATACTCACCAGAACAAATACAATAAGCTGTAGTTGTTCTGGTGACTATAGTGTCCCTTTAATTGTAATTTGTGAGCCATAATGTATGACTGCTCTTAAATGTGCCCTGCCTGTCTCAGTGTTCTCAAGTTATAAGCATCTTCTTAGAGACCAAATCCAGACCCTCAATAATTGCTATACTATCCTTTTGCTGTTGCTATCTCCCAAGTGACCCAATCGTGAAATTTGGATAGGAGGTAGCCATAGGGGAGAGATTTATTGGGATTCCCTTTAGACAGAAACCTCACTAAGAGTCCACAGTGCTTGACCATTACTTGACACACAGGGCAGGGTGGTGTTTAGCCCCACAAAACCATATTTAATGACTGGGCACCAGGGAGAATTGGAGGCTACCATGTGCCAGATAAGGTTTGCTATATACACAATGTTGTCTGCATAAACCATGCAATTCCTGCCGTTAAAGGGCAGACAGCATAATGGAACAAGCATAGTGGATACCAATGACTTGCATTTCTAGTTCAGTAGCAATAGTGCCCACTGCCCCCATCACAAATTTTTCCACTGGCAAGTCTACTGTACTATCCATTTAAGTATTTTGCAGTTGTGGAGCACCCCAAACACCTTGGGCATCGCTTCCTATAAGGTGAAGTTAGCAAAGTAAAATTTCTGACTGAAAGGGTAGAAACAATTGGGATTTACCCTTTTAACTAAAACAACTGCTATGACAGGAAATTCCATCTTGTTTGTGGGCAGATGGTTTTGAGATCCATTATAGTTGTAGGTAAATGCTTCTGAGCACAGACATCGGCATTAATGATTATTCGTCTGGAACCTCACAGTGAGCATATCGGATCTTATGAGAGACACAAGATACTACACACTATGTTGTATGGATCTTTGCCAACAACACAGTGCCACTGCGCCCAGACCCCTTCATAAATTAGGCATAGGCAACCTTTGGCACGCCAGATGTTTTGGACTACACCTCCCATGATGCTTTGCCAGCATTATGGGGGATGTAGTCCACAACATCTGGAGTGCCAAAGGATGCCTATCCCTGGTCTAGATCAAGGGTTATTCTTCTGACCACTACATACTATCAGAAATTAAAGTAGCAAACTATACCACTGCATAGCATCTGTTGGATTAATTACGGACACAGAAACAAAAAACACGATTGTTTCATTTTTTTATTATTGTGTGTCACCATATGTTTATATTTTGCATACAAAAAAAGCAAAAGGCATATTATATTAGGAACACAGGTTATTTTAATGCAGAACAAATATATTAGCATGATATCGGACTACAAATTTCCAAACATATCCCTAACAAAGGAATAAGGAAACTACCATTCTCATGCACTGTTCTTGTTTGTACCAAACAGGGAAAATCTGAAACAGTGTCATGAATAGAGAAGGGCAGCAGACCAAGATCATCAAAAGGAAGGCTTTGAGACTAGACAGAATTGTATCATTGGACCAAAAGGGATTAAATGGTTTGATTAAGAAGGTACAATATAAAAACAATGACGTATTACCTTCTAAAAGTTTTGGACACTGAACATCTACATTATATTGCAACAATGTTTAGTTCCATGAGTGCCTTATGATTCAGCAATGGTTAGCTTGTCCCTTGCGCACTTACAGGGTTATTTATTAAAATTTGTCTGGATCCATATACAATAGAGAGGTGTTGGCCTCTTACTAGCAGAGTCAGACAAAAACAGTAAATATGCTGACTCGAAGAGAACTATGTTTTGGAACTGAAGTAGTCATCAACAAGGATTCCTATGACTATCAAGGCAGCTGTCTGAGCATCATGAACATCCTACACATGAAAAGAGCCAAGCCAACATTCAACCATCACGGGTCTACATATTCTTTATGATCAATTAAACTGCATTTGTGTGTGATGCTACATCTACCCCAAAATTCTCTCTGCTCAAATTTATGCGGAAACTCAGAAATTTCAATATTCTACAATCAATTGGAGAAAGAATCAGATCATTTAAACAGTCGCATTACAAAAGAGAAAACTACCCTTTCCTTTAACTATGGATCACATGATGCTTAGCGATCCATAGTTAAAGGATATATTTTTGTGTTTCTTCATTTTAACCATTGAACGATTTTAATCAGCAATACCATAACTTGGTCTACAATAAAACTAAACAAAAGAATCGTAGGACTGATTTGGGCAGTTGAATACCAGCAGGGTTTGCAAATGCTTTGTGCCAGGATATTTGTATATGGTTGGGGCAATCGTTGCCTTCAAAAAGGTAAAATCCATTTAAAGTATAAATCCCTTTGTAGTGTAAATGAAGAAAACCTATTTTTAACCTACAGAAGCCAAAATGACATCCACAGGAAGTTCTTCTTTGCTGCGTGCTGTAACTTGCATTGTTACTGTGTCAGTGAGGACTAATTTGGCGCGAACAAGGATGTCATGTCCACCTCTAAATACACCTGTAAAAAATAAGATACACACTATGAAGCAAACGGAGACAAACTTTGGTTCTATTGCTCTGTGCTTTAAAAAGCCTGAAGGATGTCAAACAAAAGTTTAATACACAAATAGAAAAACCTAAAAGTGGAAATTTTGGGCACTGGACTCTCTCCTTTTGTATCAGACTGCTTGATGGAGCTGGGATCCTATAAAATACTCTTAGTAAGTTGACAGCATGGACCACAGTTACTTACAGATGGACACCAAACAACTATTTCATTAATTTATTCCACAAACATGCATATCTTTCATTGGGCTCTAGACAATACAAATTCACTAACAACAATGAAATACATGGCAAGTAATTTTGTTTTGATTCCGACAAGCTGACAGCCACTGGTTCAATTACAAACATATGGAAAATAAAAACACTCCAATTTGAAGTTCACGTATTTACTGCAAATCAGCATAGGTTTAGATTCTAGAGTGAGCTTTTCAAAGTGGACACGCACAATACAAGAGGCCCAGTCTGCAATATTTATCTATTTATACAACGTAGCTGTGGTGAACTGTGCTGTGTCCATGTAAATGACTAAGAAGAAGATTCTGTACTGCAAATATCCCTCTACGGAAAACACACAGATCTTAGACATGCCAAGCCATCCACCCCAAAATAGGTAAATAAATTAATTTTTAAAATGGTCACAGATTTCTGTTAATTACACAGCAAGGATGCCAGATAAAAGATTATTAAACTGTAACATGAATATTGACTTACCCGCCAGATAAAGCGTGTGGGCATTCTTGTTTTCTGGCACTTTATCTGATCGCTCACAGGGCTGCATTCCGAGGAATTTAATTACATTACCAACAGCTTCTGTTTACAAAACAGTATTTAGAAACATTAGCCAAGTGATTCTATCATCTTGCACAAGGAAAATGCAACAACACACTGGTTTATACAGTCATAGAAAAGTGACAAGGGAATTGCAAATATTCAATCAAAATTTTTTTTTATTTTTTTTTTTTAAGTAACCTAGCTGGAAACACAGACTTTGTTAAATCTGGAAGAAAATAATGTTTGTGAACGAACCCTTTGAGTTCATATTTTTGCACCAATTAATATAGTATACCTACCTTGTGTTTATTTTACCTTCATCACATTTCATTGTGTCACCCTATCTTTTACACAAAATTTAAATCCCAAGGTCATTCAAACTCTACTAATAAACCAGTCTTTACTGACTTTCTCTTCCTTTCAAAAACATTTCCTGCTTTATTCTGCTACTGTCACCAAGACAGACATCAATAGTTTGTTACGTGAAGACAAATCTCAGACAAGTTAGTAGACCTATTTTCCCCTGGATTTCCGAGGCATATCTTGCCTCTGCTTCAGATATCACACATAAGACCCCAAGCAGAATCCTACTTGATGCACAGAAAAATCGGTGGGAAACATGTCTACAAATTTTCAGAATGGGAGATCTACTCCACAGTTCTCTGAACTTTGTTAATATAGTGTATTCTGGTTAAAACTGAAATCAATACAGTCCCACTCCCCTCTAGATGTAGAATATCACCTTCTACACCACTATGACGGTGCAACAGACATAGGTAGACAGGGAGCTAGAAAGTTCTTCTCACGAATGTGTGAATGACAATGTTCAATTCAATTAAGTTATGCAGTCTAACTATGCATTTATCATGCATTGCACAAGAGCAAATCATTAGAAAATGTATAGGTTAAATGTAGTTTATAATCAAACTCTCTGCTGATGACAGAGTGATCCGGCACTGAAGCTATTTTTTTTTTATTCTTTATTTTTGCAGTGCATAAGAGTGGTACATGCAATTCTGAGGTGCCTCGAAAGCAGTCCTCAGTCATTTCCTTGCTTAACATGCAGGGCTTAGGAGTAACAGGCACAATTTTATGTTTTAGACAGGCTTGGTTAGGTAGATTTGCACCGTTTATATTTAGTAGAGGTACCAGGCTAGTGACATGTAGATCGAATAAAGAAAATATGTACACATAGTTAAGCAGATGAGTAATAACATCAGTAAGGTGACACATGTGCTTGATATTTGAGTATGAAAGTGGCCGTTGAGTGACCAATTGATACTTGATGTGTGGCATGCTGAGTGGTAGAGTTTGTAGAGTCTGTGTATGTGCCATACAGTGTACCCCACACTGCTTGTCTTAATCTAATCAGAACTTGTAAGGCTGAGTGAGGTAATGTATTGCGTCGTAAGGGGGTGTATTTTCCCCGTTGTGGCCGTGTAGGTGAGTGTGTGGCTTGTGAAGTATCTGGTTGCTGGGTGTAAAATACACCCGTCTGTCCTCTGTTTGGGAGAAGATATAGTCTGGTTTCCCCTTAGGGCAGACGGGAGGGGGGAGGGAGGGGTGGGAGAGGTTATTGATCGGGTTGGTGGCAGAAGCGTAAGTGTGTTACGTGTGGGTGGCTGGCATCATCAGTATGTGTGGCAATAGGGATAGGCTACGTAATATAGCATTAGGCAACACTGGTAGAGTAGGCTAAACATGCTAACAAAATAACCAGATAACCGCGGTGAGTCACCACTATTGTGGTTTGGTCAGCCAGTCCCGGCCACGAACTTGTCGTGATTTTTATGTCTCTGGGAGCTTTCACGGTGGGTTGTCTGCAGGGGAGCCGTGTCCAGGACGTCACAGGACAAAGGTTTTCGCCTTTTCAGGGTCCCACCTGTATCATGGTTTGGTGGTCTCGGGTTGTACCGTGGGGTGCATGGCATCTTGAGGCAGGCCCAGCTTGGGTAGTAAGTCCTGTGCTCCTTGCAGGTTGTGAACCTCGTGGGTGGTCTCGCCCTTTGTTACCAGCATGGAGCGGTTGGGGCGCCATCTGTATGTTATGCCTCGCTGCTGGAGGAGAGTAGTGATTGGCTTAAGTGATCTCCTCAATGCCTAGGTACTGCCAGATAAGTCAGTGAAAAAAGTGAGTGACATGGATTCGAAAGAGTATTGGGCATGATTTCTTTCTGCTGCCATAATTGCCGCTCTGTCCTCGCTCTGCTGAAAGCGGATTATGGTATCTTTGGTAGCCGCTGTTGGGGCTTTGGCTGGTTTAGGGATTCTATGGACACCATCTACGCTTATGGCTTTGGCTTGCCTTTTTGGTAGTAATGCTGCCAGGAGTCGTCGCACAAAGTGCGGTAGTTCCTCCGCCGGCATAGTTTCAGGTATACCCCGTACCTTTAAGTTAGTCGCTCAACGTGTGTCCTCTAGTGTGGCGAATCGCCGCTCATATGCCTCCGTTTTGCTCTGTAACCCCTTTATCTCCTGTTGCATGGAGGTAATGTGGGCCGCTGTGGTGTCTTCCAGGTTGCCCAGTCTCCCGGTTATGCCCTGGAGGTCTGTGCGGAGGCCCGCCTTTTCCGCTTGAAGCATGGTCTGTAAGCCTGCCAGCAGCGCCTTGAGCACCGCTGTTGTGACAGGTGCATCATCGGGGTTCAGAGGCTTGGTAGTTGGTGCCGGTTGGCCGGGGGTGGGGTATATGCGTCCTCCCCCTGGGAGAAATCATCCGACAGGTGGGTGGTCGGCCATTTTGGGCCCAGTCGCTCCGTACGCCTGCTTCCACATGGCTCCGATATCGAGGCCAAGTCTGGGCTGTTCAGGCTTTTGTTTCTTATTTTTGCTTCCCATGTCGATTCCTCTGCTGTGGCCTAGGTTTATAGCCGTTTTGGACGGGTTTTTAGAGGTCCAATTAGGGTATTTTAAGTTTAAATAGTGCTATGCGACCTGTCTGCTCTGCAGCTTGGCTCCGCCCCCAAAGCTATTATTTTTGTCTATGTATGAAGTTTTTTGGCAAAACAAAATTGGTACCTATACATTTGCTAGCCATTTCTCCTGGACAAGTTACTGCTCAAAAAAAAAAAAAAAAAAAAGTCACCACTTAATTTTGGCATTGCAGGTGAATTCTAATACATTACATATTATTTTAATTTGTAAAAGTAACTTGGGTTTCAGACACAAGGAATTTAACTGCATTTACATGACTCATTTTTATATTAAAATCACACAGAGCTTGTTCAAGTTAGCATACCAGAGTTAAACTCAATGTGACAGCTAAAATCACCTTTATATGTTAATTGGGTATTGTCTTCAGAGACTATGTACCCACAAAAATAAATAAAAATACTTGCAGAGAAATGCTCACCTTCTAATGTTTTTATGGTTGCTAGGTTAAAGGTTTCTTCTTTCTCAAAATCATCCCCCACTTCATCCCAGGCAGCGCTAAAGTTAGGTTTGAGAACTTTCTGTATGTGGTCTGCTACAGTCACCTCGATGTCCTCAAGCTATGAGTAAAATAACATTGTTTTTAATAGCAAAATAACAGATTGGACACAAAGCAACTCCTTGCACAGTCATTGGTATAATAAAGGACGGACGGTGTCCAAACTTAAACACAAAAAAGTGAAGGCAAAACATAGGTATGTGTTAGAGCTCAACAAGATTACTCGGTAAAAGTGAATTGTAAGGAATTGATGGTTAATTTCAAATTTTAGGCCAGAATAGCTGAATTTAAAAACATCTTCAAACCAGCAATGTTTTTAGTTCAAGTATTGGTCTGAGATTTGAAAATCGCTTTGGTTTTCACACATTTTCCGCTATCTGCCTTACCACATATTCATCCTCATAGCCTTCCTCTTCGGCTTCCCCAGTGTTCGGATCACAATCCTTGACTGTGAATTTCAATAAACAACTGAAAGTACAGGAAACTGAGAAAAAGAAAATCTAATGTTAATTCTTTAAAATGATTGATTGATGATGCATTTAAAAGACATCACACAAATGAGGAATGTAACAGTGTATATGGGACTAACATATACAATGGCACACACATTTGAGAAAACAGACAAACTGCCATTTGGTTAGAATGACAAAAAATAATTCTGCAGAAAATAAACAAACATTCAAGATGTTACTTGGTGTTATGCCTATGGATCTGCTTCTACTTTTTTTATCAGGTTATGTATTTTCTCACTTGCTGGTTAAATCATTTGACAACAACTTTTTTTTTTCTAATGGGACAAAGCAAATACAGAAGAGCATGGAGCTGTAAATAACAGCTTATCTTTAGACTGGGAATATCAAGGCTTTGCTAAGGAATTTAAAATGGACAACTCAAACTACAAAAATAAATGAATCAAATTAAATGTTTTCTTTTATTTGCTGGTTATATTTTGTTCTTATATGTAATCTTTAGCATACAAGTATATGTGCCCAGCGTAAAGGCAAAAACTATAAATAAAGCAATCACAGCTGATGCACATGTAGGTCTTTCTTCCTCCAGTGGCAAATCACCCACTGTTAAGTGTTTTTTTCAAAGAACACCTAACCAAAAGCATCATTTATCTCTGAAACACAATGTATCTCTTCTAATTTAATAATATTCAGTTACACTCATTTTTATAGATAAACCAGAAGTCTGAAGACCTGAGGAAAGTTCCACCTTTTCACCCAAAACATGTTTAGAGTAGATACATACATGCTGCTGGGTCATCTTCAGGTACAGACACTAAAGTGTAGCATGTGCCAGGATGGTTATAGGACAGAGTTTTAGCTGGCACACAACAGATTACTTCATATCCCTCGGTAGGTTCCATCTGCACGATTACATTTTCCAGGATCTGATCATTGAGTGTGTTGGTGCAATCAAACTAGAGAACAGAAATAAACCATTCATTATATAATTTAACAAGGCATGCGGAGCTCACATTAAGCTACAAGCTATGTGATGGTGTGTTGGGCAAGGTGTGATAGTCATTCCTGCTTCAGGTGAAGAATAGAATTTTTACAATAAAAGTTTATTTTTTTATTCAGAGATGGCATTCAGTATGGTTGTTTCCTCTGATCTAACACAATAAAACTCACCTGGAACACCAAATGATTAGCAAACGTGTGCTTAGTACATCGGACAACATACTCTGTCTCAGATTCAGTAAGCGCAACAGGTTCTGAAGAAGACTTAAACAGGGGGCCAAGATCTTTGAATTCTGAAACAGCAGCAAGTTGCTCTGAAAAAGAAAATACAATTTATACCAAAATTAACTTCTGCCACAGCTTTTAACACTTTACACATATAAATAGTATGCTCCCCACCACTTACAATGCAATATGTATAAGTAAAGTGATGCTCAGATTTATGCAACTCACCTTGGAAAATATCCTGCCTTGTAGATACCACTTTCTCAGGCTGCCGGACAGCTGTGATTGGCAGATTTTCTGATAAGACATGAAACACGCTGTTAACATAGTGTGAAATATCTACTAGATGTGTTTATTTATACATATGATTTATACAGATAAAGTTGCTAATATATTTAACCACCATTCCCCCAGACATGTTATGGATAGTTTTCTGTTGCCATTCGTCAGATGTTTAGTAAGTAAGGCAGTTACAAAAGATACAGTAAAACACCTTTTAAACATATCCCACCAAAGTAAAAGAACTAGTGCAATATAAAACTCACACCAATTTAAATAGATTAGGTAAAATTCATATGAGAGGAGTGAATCTAGGCACATGAATGACTGAGGTAGCCATGTACCTAGGGCAATAGACATAACCGCTAGTATAGATATAACAAGAAAAGAAACACAAGACATTTTCCATATTAGGGCAACCCGAAGGACGTGTGATAACCCACTTCAGCAAGTGAAGATATAACTACATACCTATCCTTTGTTCAGAGACTGGTGCAGTTGCCAAAGGAACAGATTTTAGGTCAAATGGTTTTTCAGATGGCTCCAGGGTATACTGTTGCAAAGCTCTTTCCAACCCAGGGATAGACACCGAGATCCCTATACACAAGGAAGTGGGTTAATCATATCTGCTCGTAACAATATTCCATTGGCTCGGTAATATGAAACTGATATGTTGGAACTGGGTTGTAGTGTCCACAGGCTTACCATTAAGGATGTAGGAGGAATTCAGAGCCTTCTGTCTGTGCTCTAAAATGTTCAAATAAAATGTAGCTCGATCCCTTACTTCATTATCATCATCCATCACACACCTTTAAAACCACAGAATACATAACTATTAGATTTAAATAATACAAAATAACAAAAAGTATAATTTCAACTTGCTACTATGCTGCTAAACTTTAAAGAAAAAAAAAATCCCCTTTCTAAACATTTACTGAATACAGCTACATCTTTTATCTCTGTCCTCTGGAAGAAAACCAAAGCTTCAACATTTCAACAATGGCTAATATGATTGGGAAAAATTCAGGCATGGAGGATCTCGCTCATTAAACACCCAAAACATTATCGTTCTATTTGAAGAACACAAGTGGTTTAAGTGCTGATGTAGAAATGAGTCAGTCAACAGGGAACAGCATAATGATTTGAAATGTACACACTCTGATTTAATTTTCTTATAGCTATACTAATGTCCCTGAAGTGGAATTTCAGTATATAGTCCTGACAGCAGTAAAACACTGGCATGCAGGGTACATATTAAAGGACCACTATAGTGCCAGGAAAACATACTTGTTTTCCTGGCACTAAAGTGCCCTGAGGGTGCCCCCACCCTCAGGGTCCCCCTCCCGCCCGGCTCTGGGGAGAGGAAGGGGTTAAACACTTACCTTTCTCCAGCGCCGGGCGGGGAGCTCTACTCCTCCTCTCCTCCTTGCTCGCGAGGAGGAGAGGAGGAGTAGAGCTCCCCGCCCGGCGCTGGATTTACAATGCTTTCCTATGGACGCTTGCGTGCTCTCACTGTGATTTTCAAAGTGAGAAGCACGCAAGCGCCTCTAGTGGCTGTCAATGAGACAGCCACTAGAGGCTCTGGAGGCTGGATTAACCCTCAGTATAAACATAGTTTCTCTGAAACTGCTATGTTTATAAAAAAAAGGGTTAATCCTAGCTGGACCTGGCACCCAGACCACTTCATTAAGCTGAAGTGGTCTGGGTGCCTAGAGTGGTCCTTTAATATGCTTGGCCCCCATTTCTTCACTAAAATCTTTTAAACAGACCTTGCATATGAACTGCTTTGTTTTGCAAAAAGATCAAAAAAGACTCAATACCAGACTAAGCACTTAGGTAACAAAATCAGACATGACATGAAATCCACGGAGGAGCGAACAGTGAAGATTTGGTTCCTCTAGTCAAGATATGCTTTCCCAGGTTTATAAAAATATACTTATCCCAGTGTTTCCGATACACTTTCTAGGTGTGATAGGAATTTAATTGTTTTCTGATTGTTGTTTAATTCTTACTTTTGCTCTCCTCATTTGTACTTCAATTAATTGCCATATAATTTTACAACCGTATTCTCCCTTCTTCCCTCCCCCCCCACCTTAATTATTATTATTTTTTAAATATTAAAAAAGGTTAAACACAGATATACTATACAGAGCTGCTAGTCATTACAGATTCCTGTAGTTGCCTATGGTTCTAGGATATTAGAATTATTTCAACTACTTGTTTTTTAATTGGAGTTTATGGTAATCTAGTATTTTTTAAGATGTGGTCTATTAACATGCTTTTACTAGGTACAATTCCATCTGCTATGGAATTATAATAATATTTGGATACGACCATTGCAGATTTACATAGTTATATATCTATGTTATAACCTTTAATAAAGAGGCTTTAAAAGAACAAATTAAATCAGTTGCTTCATTGCTTACCTTCTCAATAGCACCAAGATACTGGGTAACATGTCTTCATTCTGCGCACCAAATTTGGCCAAGGCACTCACAGCACCTGGCAGGCAAAAAGGAGTTTTGTGATAGATACAACAATGAGCAGCAAAGTCAAGTTTAGATATATAGGAGAAACAGTTTCCATTTGAGTATGAGAAGAGGGGAAAAAAAAAAATGTAATCTAAACAGTTGGAAGACCTACCTGCTCGCACTTCCTCATTCTCCAGGATAACCCGATTGTAGATAAAGCGGATGTACTTGGAAGGGTTGTTGGTCCTTGGGCCTTCCTGTCCCAGGAGGTGCAGGATTCGAGTAGCAAGAACAGTGAATTCACAGTCCTCAATGAATTCACACAGGTGGGACAGACCAGTCTCTTTGCTTTCAGGGTTCTCCTCAATAATACTAATGATGCAGTCAACAATCGCTCGCTTATAATCAAACCCTCCCTGGGGGAAGAAAAAAATGTTTTCAGTCCAGAAAGATCAGCCTCCAACACAGCAAGTTAAATTAGATAAGAAACACATATATTCTCTTCAGAACTGTTTTGCACACTGAACATTAACTGTTTATTAGTAACAGATGATCTTACTATGTATCTTGACTTACCTCTTCCCGCAGCATAGTGAACAGGAAATTCATCATGACTGAGTGCTTACGGGGGTATTTGTGGCACAGAGCACTGATTGCCTGAACGACTACCACCTGTGTAATAAAAAGACATGAGAATTCAGCAGTGAACGGAGACTTAGACCCTTATGTATAGGACTGGTGCCATTATATTAAAATTGTTTAGCTATTTCTGGGTAATCAGCAAATATGTGTACCGCTGGAGATAAACGTCAAGTCCCACAATGTGAATGTTGTCCAGGACTGGCTGACAGATACATAAAATTGACTTCCACAATGAATTAGCTTCTGCAGTCTTAATGTTAATATTTAACCATATTGACGGCAGAAAGATTTGCCTTCTTCATCTCTTGTATGTTATATTCCATATGTAAAATTACTTGTTGTCAAAATATCCCCATTCTATAATTGTAAAGCACTGCGGAATATAGAATATGTTCTAGGATGCCCTCCATCTAGAACTAGAAAGGCTAGGTTACTCATATGGCTAGTTCAGACCTTAAACTCATCTGAGATTTCAGACATGAAGGAAGAGATCTGTTTCATGAGCCGGTCGATGCTGCTCTCACTTCCCGTCTTTAGCAAGGTAGTAATGGCCAAGGTAGCAATGCTCCGGTTAGAGTCTGTCACCAGGTTCTCTAGGTCCAGGTTGCAGGCAGTTACAGCTGATGGATGTTTCATGGCCACCTTTAAGCAAATGCAATTACAAGATTAAAATATGCCTTCAAATGTATTTTGCCACCATTTCTACAGTTCTTTTACCAATGTAATGCAGGAAAATAAATCACTCCATGTTCTTAAGCTCTTTTTCCCCATATATGATTTAGTAAACAGATATTTCAGCCAATACCTGGTCTCCATATAAAAACAGCTGAAAAGGGATGGAAAACCTGCTTATTTTGCAAACAGTAATTCTGATGCAAAAAAATAAATAAAATAAATGAAACGGTCATAACTACTTTGGCACTACAAGGAAACAAACCTGAGATAGAAGCCCAAAGTTGGGTCTGAATCTCACTAAATCAGGAGGCATGCAAGACTATAATAGCCCTACTTGGGACAGACATTTACAATTATTCATCGTTTAATACTAGAAAAAATAGCCAACTAGTCTCGTAACTGGAACATTGATGATGCTATTAAATCTCACACAAAGATTACAGTACCTTATTGAGTGTTCGCACTGCAGCGTAACGAAGAGCAGCTTTAGGAGAACTGCAAAACAGCTGTAACACTACACAAAAGAAAATCCAAAATGTTTTACATACAGATAGTAAAAGCATGCTTGTGCATATTAAAACACACATCTTATAAGCAGTTATTGTATGCTTGTGCAAGTAGCTGCACTAATAACTAACTGCAAGTGGGACTCACCAGCCACGGCAGGAGCAAGTTCTTTAGCAGTGCAAGAAGGCAGATTCACAATGGCGGATGCGGCTTCATATACAACCATTTCATGCTTGTTTCTCAGACAGCTTTCAATAAAGTCAAATAGAGGGCTGTCCCGACTTAAAAGGAAAATAAATACAAATTAACAAACAAAATGTGTTGTGAAATAATCTTGGACATCAATTGGCAATACCAATAAACAACTAATTAGGATGTTGTCATGCAAAGAATTAATGCTGCAAGTATCATGGCAAGTTCCTTATCTTACTTACTTTCCATCTTCTTCCTCCAAGAGCTTGCTTGCCACCCGGATCAACATGCAGTAGGCAAAAGGAGACTTCAGACCATGGCGCATGAATTTGCTCAGCATCTTATTGACAGATAGTCGGTCATTCTTGCGCACATGATACAGCAGTCCCAGGGCATGATACTAAAAGAGAAGGGCCAATTTGACAAATCAGAAGGTGCTCCACTTAAAGTCATTCCAAAAAATAAATACATCTACTTAAATCAAGTGGCCTGGAAGAGGTCTGTCAGTACCTGCACCATGATATTATCACTTGAAGCAGCTTCTTGAGCCTCATTCACCCAGCGCTTGACAACGTCAAAGCTGGTCTTCAGTAGGTGCTGTGGGTCAAGAGCCAAGCAATCAATTACAAAATTAAAACAAAAAAACGCACAACAAAAACAAAACACCAGAACAAACAAGGTTTATTAAAAATATCCCTATTTTGCTGGGTCCAGAAAGTGGATGAAGCATTTTAAGTCAAGCATAGAGGTATTGGAGAATGACTAGAAAATATCACAAAATCAGGGTATGCAAATTTCTGTCTCATTATATAAAGATTTACTGTCAATGGGTTGGCTAGGGATGGCTGTTCTAATTGAAGGTATCGGGAGGGGGAGAACATGTTTTTCTTGACTAGTAGTACCAAACACAACCACTAGACATCTAAAAGGATGATACAACATGTTATTGGACACACATTTTCTATATAGCTCTTAAAATGAAAATCTAAATCTATAATTATACACACTGAGTTAGGCAAGCTACATTGAGGTAGTTAGGGAAAGTGTTAAATATTTTAATATAAATTTCAAAATATAACATTTTCTTTAAATAACACCTATATACCCACCAGCGAAGATACCAGGGCAGAGCTGGATACACTAGACACTTTGTCCACTATGGCCTGTTTCATGTAGCGTTCAATAGCCTGCAGCATAGTACTCTAAAGCAAGCATAAACATCAATTATTTAAAGTGACCAGTCCCCTACAGCTTAAAAAACACATAGTTATGTAGGATATCTATTGCGCACTTCTAAGAATTCAGAAGGCATTAGTACAAGTACATTTTCCCAGTTTGCAAAATCATTAATTGCAAGCAACTGCGAAATGGCGAGCACTGCCCTGAGCCTACATAATAAAGCTGGAGTGCTCCTAGAACAGAGACAAAAGATTATATCAGCATAACTCCATATCACACATAAAAGCTACAAATAGTTTAGAATCTCCATTAGATGAAGAATATAAGAATTCAACATATATATATATAAATAAATATGCCAAGCTGGAGATTGTTTAATGAATCAAACCTCGCAAATCCAAAATAATCTCATAAATAATTAATATTGTCTCTTCTAGTTTTCGGTTTGCAGCAAAATCTCATGATTTGCTCCATTTTCAGAGCCATGTCGAGAAATCAGGAAATAGGGGAGGTACCTTTTTTGCTAATCTTGGTTCTCCAATGCTTTCAATAGAGGTTTTATGGATCCCTTTAGCCTCTGTTGTGCAGAGGTTTAAACCCTGGGGTTTCTACTGAGCTTTAAAAAAAGCTTGGTTGCTTCTATTAAATCATGCAAGTGTTTTCATGCATGAAATAGAAGCGACAGGCACTCCTAAAATACATAGAAACACTGGAATAGTTTAGAACTCAAACACTGCAACTGGCTTCTGTTAAAAGTGATACAACTGCGATACATTTGTAGCCGAATCTCAAAGTAAAATACTAGTAATAAATAATAATGAGTTGTAACTTTTGTAATATAAAGGAACACAGACTACATTGTGTGTATGGTATTATTTCAATAAATTAAACTTGAAATCCGTTTCAAAATACACTGTCATATTAAAGTTTGCAAACTAGATAAAGTTATACTATGACATGCTTTCTCATACTGTATCAATTTAGACAGATTAAACGACTCTAAAACAAATCAAGAAGTACTGGGGGGAGTGTCTTAAAGGTATTGTTTTATGAACGCTAATAATCTCAATCTCTGAGATGCAGCCATCTACTATACAGTAAGTAAGTAACAAAGCTTATATGAAACTTACATCAGTGATTTTACACAATGCTCTCACGGCTGGTCCTCTGTAACTGTCATCCTTCCCCGTCATATCTTTGGTTAAACTGGAAAATAACATTTATTGCAGGGTTTTTGTTTTGTTTTTTCTAAAGGACAGCGTAAAATGTATTATCAAATATAGCTAAGAAAATGTAACCATGTTTAGCTTTGTTTTTGCATAAAAATATTTAAAACAAACATTCCATATTTTGTATCAATCATTTCTAATAATGTTCAGAACATTTTATTTATTATTATTTATCATTGTGGTTGCATGTCAGACATTCAAATAATCTGATTTATTTTTAGTCTTTGGGATTTATCATCCCACTACATTATATGGAATACTGCCACAATTATAAGGCACACATTTAAATGAAAATAGAATCAAGCAGAAAGTTTCTAAATATATGACATATTGTAATTGAAGCATATTCAAACAGAATATACAGAATCTCTGCATACAGTGGAAGACAATTTGCAATGGTCTACAAAGGCACATGTAAACAGAGATATAATGTGACTTCAATGAATTAATTAGAAGATATTTAGAAAAATGTTATTAACATAAAAATGGGGGAATATTCTGTAAACAATTGTTAGGGAAACCAACTGAATACTTCCACTGATTTTCACAATATTTGCTTCACTTTAATACAATCTTCCCCTGTCAGTCAATGACAGCTGTATTTCATTTGGAATAACCAAATGTGAATTTTGTTTCTCTCAAGCCAAGGCTATACAGATATCCATCTGCTAACTCACCTACTGGTGACAATGATCACATCCTCAGAAATACTGGCCATCTCCTTTATAGTGAGGTAGCACATCCTTCGAAGTGTCGGCTGCCAGGTAAAAGAAAGAACATATTTGTTAATGTTGGTACCATGTTTTCATTTGTCTATTCTTTATAATTACATACTGCATTTATCTTGATTGTTAATGTTTCATTTTCCTTTTTTTTTTTTTATAATTTGCTATTACAATGTGTGATTCAACGCACTTACATCATTTGATTGAAAAAGCTTGGTCATAGCAAAGAATGCTTCTGTTGCTTCTGTGGCACCCATATGCTCCCCCTAGAGGACAGGAATAGAAAAAACATTTTTACAAAATAAAATAAAGGACTTTCTGTCTGCACAGTGTGTTGCATGAGAGTTTACCTATTTAACTCTGAATTAGAGAGCCCAATACTAGTACTTTCAGGACAAAAAAGAAAAAAAGGAGCACATGAAACATTCATATTTGCTCAAAATGCCTGCCCATCAACATTTGCAAAGTTTATAATCAGTCTATATGTGGCTATAATGCTACAAACCGTGTATATATAGTTGCTTGTGTAAAACCAAACACCTGACAACAGAGGTAACAAATAGAGGTAAAAAGCTGTAACATGAAAACTGTATATAAACAAATTATAAAATGAATATACCTGGTTTATCAAATATAGTATCTTCGTCAAGATGTGAGCACATTTTCGAGGGTTAATGGGAGTTTCGTTAAACAATCGAGCCTAAGAATAAAACAAAAATATATTACGGTCTTAAATAGAGTATGAAAATGTGTTGGTGAACTGCAAAACAGCTCACAGTAGTGGATATGGTTACAATAGTGCTATGGTACACTCCCAGAATTAGTTGTAAAACCATTTGCAAACACGGACAGATTTTACTGGGTGTCTTCTCTTCTGCCACTAAAGTTCCCAGCACTGGGATAAGAATCGTGGTGCACTGCTTTGCTCATTAGCCGAGAAAGCTCAGCGAATGAGCCAGCCATATAAGGCAGGGCTTAGAGGAGCTAACGGAAGAGGCTGTGACAGTCACCCGGTGGACCATAGGTAAGTTGTCAAACTATTTGAAAATGGTCTCACTACTCCTGGAACGATGCCAAAGCCCTCCCGGCTCCATAACCACTACTGGCCATAGCAGTTATGGTGTTTGGACTGTTCCTTTAACCAAAATACAGCTTTTAAGATATCAGTGGACTTTTTGGTGCCGGTGTTCTATCAGTCTGCTATACTCCATCAGATTGCTATACCCACGTCACTTCCGGGGAGGGGAATCAGCTGGATCCTGTGCTGCACATGCGTGCTAGCACTCCTGCTACTCCTCCACAGCAAGGTCCTGGAAGGTAAGTAAAACTAGTTTTACACTTTCATTATAGTTAGTGCATTCACTAAGCTTAGGCACACAGGACATTTAGGGTTAAGTGAGGGTACAAATTAGGGTTAGGTAAGTGCTTCTAACCTCTATCACACTCTATTCTTACCCTAACCCTTGGGGTAAGGGTTAAAATAAAGTGTGAGAAATCACTATTTAGTGATATTCCCCTAAAGTGAAATATCACTAAATATGAACAAGTCCCTAATCCTAACCCTAATTTGAACCCTAACATTAACCCAAAATGTCCCATGTCCTAAGCTTAGTGAATGCACTAACTATACCTTCCAGGACCTTGCTGTGGAGGAGTAGCAGGAGTGCTAGCACGCATGTGCAGCACAGGATCCAGCTGATTCCCCTCCCCGGAAGTGACGTGGGTATAGCAATCTGACGGGGTATAGCAGACTGATAGAACACCGGTTCTCACTAAAACCAGGACTTGGAGAGGTGGAACATTAGGGAACCAATATGCCAGTCTATGTAGACCAATTTCTCTTCTATTTCAAGCATGGGGTAGAGGAGGCAAGGTCCTCAATCTTGTGAGTGGACTTGGAGCAAGCTTCACAATGTGGCCTATCTGCAGCATTGGCTACATGCTTACCACCTGCAAGTGTGTTTTTACTCTTTGGCATGCAAATATATTTTATAAGGCTTTCTAGTATTTTATATGTTTTTTTTTTACTATGCCTAGTTATATGTCCTTTTATACCTCCTCACATCTCGCACATTTTCTACAAACATTTATGGCATCTGATCAGTCTTGCCTTTAAGAGAAGTGATATGTTTACTACTGCACATGTTATAAACCTTATGTTATGCAATGTCTCTAGTTGTACCTACTAAAATACAAAAAATTTGTGGTTTTAAAACTCGTACTAATGCCTCCTACTAAATGTGATGGCATATTTACTGCATGTACTCTACGTGTTGACTTACTTAAAACCACTCAAATTATAAAAAAAAAACAAAAAAACCTCTAATAATATAAACAAAATCCACCTTTCTGGTTGTTCTATCTCCTTGCCAATGTAGCTCAGCCTCAATTGTATTGACTAATAACAAAATACAATGAAGACACTACAGGGGAATCATTTTCTTCGACCCAGATAAAATGAAAGGCTTTCCACTGAGCCAGATACAAATAAGTTACAAAAAAAACGCCGCTCTGGCAAATACCTTGTTAGCCTGGTGGCAGGCGGCTAGCTAAGTTCCAGGCAGGTGGCGAGGAATCGCTGATTTGTGAGCTCTCTCTGCTCAGCTCCCTTGCGCGCCACAGAATGATGCCGGGAGCCGGAATAGGACGTCAAGTGAGCTGAGCAGGGAGAACTCACAAATCAGCGCTCCCTCGCCACCCGCCTGGACCTCAACTAGCCGCCCAACTGCCTGCACGCCTGTCTTCCACAACAGCCTGGCCACCAGCCCCACAGGACCCCAGGTAAAAAAAAAAAAAATCCACCCAGCTTTCCCAATGGGTAGGGAAGCTGGGTGGCTTTAAATTTAAAAATAATCTGTGAGGGTGGGGTGGAATGTGTGTGTGTGTCTGGCTCGCTGTCAGTGTGTGTCTGAGTGAGAGTGTGTGTCTGTGAGGGCACCTGTGTATCTGAGTGATTGTGTGTGTGTCAGAGAGTGCGTGTATGTCCGTGTGTCAGAGAGTGCGTGCATGTCAGTGTGTCTGAGAGTGCGTGCATGTCAGTGTGTCTGAGAATGCGTGTATGTCAGTGTGTCTGAGTGTATGTCAGTGTTTCTGAGAGTGTGTATGTCAGTGTTTCTGAGAGTGTGTGTGTTAGTCTTTAACAGGAAGAGGTGTGGCAAATGTAAATTAAGGGGTGCCAGAGTTTCGTCATGCCTAGGGCAGCACAGATCCAAAATACACCACTGGTTCTCATGCCATGCCTTTTAGTGACCATCTGCACGGCATCCACTTGGAGGGTTTGGAAAGATTATCTTCAGCTGTAGAACGGGTAGTTCATATTCTCACAGCTTCTGTAAATTTTTAACAAAAAACATACAAATAGCCACAAAGGAACATCTTACCTCCTGAAGCACTGCACTTTTCTCCAGATGTTGGAAAGGATTGGAGCCACCACCTGAAATATACAAAACACAAATGATCTTTCAAATTTTGGGCTTGTCACATCACCAGCTCTACAGAAGGACATGTTACATCTCAACAAGTTGCCAGAAAATCTTCCTTCTTCACGTAAATTGAACCCCAGAGAATAAGTCTGTATTTAAAATGTTCCCTTTGATAAAGGATCAACTTCAAAATCAGGAAATCTGAAATGGAACGATGACTTGATTCGCCCAGGATTCCTTTATCTAGCAAGGAAGCTAAAATGCGTTTAGACAAGAAAAACTGTCTGTACACTTCTGTGTCAAATGTGACTTGAACTGAAAAAAAAACAAAAAAAGCAAAGCAAAAAACTGGAAGAACTGATAGAGTAGCATTTAGTTGGTTCTTATGGGTATCAACATGAAAGGCCTAGGAAGCACCCTCTACTCTTTTAGAGTTGGTGGGAACCCTCTCAGCAATAGACTTAATTAAAGGACCACTATAGGCACCCAGACCACTTCAGCTCAATGAAGTGGTCTGGGTGCCAGGTCCCTCTAGTTTTAACTCTGCAGCTGAAACATAGCCGTTTCAGAGAAACGGCTATGTTTACATTAGGGTTAATCCAGCCTCTAGTGGCTGTCTCATTGACCACCGCTAGAGGCGCTTCAGCGCTTCTCACTTTGATTTTCATAGTGAGAAGACGCCAACGTCCATAGGAAAGCATTGAGAAATGCTTTCCTATGGACTGATTGATTATGCGCGCAGCTCTTGTCGCGCACTAGGCGGATGATGTCTGAAGAGGAAGGAGACTCCACAGCACCGAGGGAGCCCGGCGCTGGAGAAAGGTAAGAATTTAACCCCTTCCTCCCCCTTAAGCCAGTCGGGAGTGGGACCCAAAGACCCTATAGTGCCAGGAAAACAAGTTTGTTTTCCTGGCACTATAGTGGTCCTTTAAGAGTACAGCAGAATTCAGATAACATGGAAGTGATGGAGGAGCAATCAGACCTGTCGAGAAATTGAGGACAGTCTACAGAATAGAACCATGATAAGCTCCCACTTGTCCTCATCCTTTAACTCACAATTTACTTTCCAAAATGTTCCCTACCCATAAAAGGCTGGTAGTCAGTACCATAACATATTAAAGGAATTTTCATAACAAAAAAAAAAAAAAGGCACAAACAGAGGAATACAGAATTAAGAGCAAAAATACGCTGGATGCATTCTGACTCTATGGACAGGCTTCATTCTCAATAGTGACAACCACCACATGAAAACAGAAAGAAAAAATATGTGCTTCTTTTCGAAATCAAGGCAATGCAGTACTTGATTAACCACCAACAACTTAATTTCAGATCAGTGTATTGCAAAATTCCATAACCTAAAAACAGCATAGTGTTTTAAGTAAAAATAAAAATGGTAAGTGAATTTAAATACATGCAATCACATCCTTTAGAGCAGAAACGGCTCTGTTTAATACAGTACTCTTTTGCGGCACTGGAAGAACTATTGCATTTCTATTACACTGAGAGGGTAGTGTATGCATGGAATAGCCTTCCAGCTGAAGTGGTAGAGGTTAACACAGTGAAGAAGTTTAAGCATGCATGGGATAGGCATAAGGCTATCCTAGCTATAAGATAAGGCCAGGGACTAATGAAAGTATTTAGAAAATTTTTTAAGTTTCAAAATTTTATTGAATATTGGTTACAGACATTGCATCAGTACAGTGTACATGTTTGTTTTCCTGACCCTATAGTGATCCTTTAACTATTTGTAGGTATTTGGATACATCATATTCGGGTATGTCCAATTTGGACAGTCAAAACTGTAGTATATCAGTTTTTAAGGGGGTATAGCTTTGATGTTCGTGACATATAGGCATTATCATGACATTTGGTCTAGAGGTATAGTAGTGTTAATCGTGACACATGTTTGGAGGTGGTCCTGTTTTGTCTCAGTGTTTGACTAGAGATCCCCAATGTGCCTTCACCTGAGGTGTCTGTATGTTTAGCAGAACTCGTAGGTCTCCCTCAGTCAGGGAAATGGCTCTAGATCAATGTGGTATTGTGTGTACCCTTGAGATTCTTGGGTGTGCGGTTACCCGGGGGTGTCTATAATTAAAGGGGAGAGGTGCGGGGTGTTGGTGTTTACTGGTCTCCCCAGCCCCTGGTTTGGTGTTAGCGGGTGAATTGATGTTATGTTATGTTATTGTTGCCTCTACTTGTATGAAAAAAATGTATACCAAATGTAAAGGTGTGGGATCCGTAACTGGGTGTTTAAAGAGGGGAAATAGGTTAGGGGATGGGAGTTTGGTCCTCAAGTCTGGTGTGGGTGCAGGTGTTTTGTGCAATAGTAATTCCTGGAGGGTAGTAGTTGAGCAGTGAAAGTGGGGGGAGGTAGGGGGCAACCCTGCCGTCACATTCTATGTTTCTATTTATTGTTTTAGTATATGAAATTATATGGTAGTTTTTGTTCATGACTTAAAATATATGTATCTGTACAATACCTGATAATATTATAATGGCACACATTTGCGGTTTGTTTTTAAAATTATTTTCTTGACAATTGAAAGAACCTGTGCATTGTTGTTGCTTCACAAATGTCAGCATATTATTTAATTTGGCATCTCATTAAAAACTAATAGACACTTACTATGTTCTCCCTGTAATGCCACTGGATATTATTGCAGTAACATTACACTGCTTAATTAGGTTTGTTCAGGAGTGATCCCATGCATACTTCCACCTACTTCTTTTATTTTTAATGGCATAGCCAAAATATTAATTTTGAACATCATTTTATTGAGCAAGGACACACACCACTGCAAATAGCCTTTGTGTCCAGACTATACAAAATAAGTGATGCAATGATTCTATCAAATAAGCTTGCAACCACACCAACATCCCTGAGGATCGTCTCTATAATAGATTGTGCATCCTTCCACGGAGACCATCATTGCATATTATTGTGGATTTGTTTTCACTACATTGGGATTCTGAGTGGAATATTAAACAACGGAGATACAGTGTTGACAACATGATAAATACATGCAAACATAAGTGGGGTATCTGAAAAGTTAACAAGTCTCATGATCCAAGATACCCTCAATGTAATTTTGTATATTCATCGTAGTGGAAGAAGATACCCACTTTGCAACAGTACAGACCTGAATGGATCCCATAAAGTTGCTTATGTAATGGCTTCAAAGGCATCAAGCTATGTTTATATTTGTACTGTAACTTGGACAGATGAATCGGAGGCTAGGGGGTGCAAATTCAGCCAATGCAGTAATGTCAAAGAGAAATATGCTTTTTCTATTTGCACTGAAAAGCAAATACAGTTTTCAGCTGATTCAGATAAAGTAACATTTTATGGGTAGAGGTGGCATGTTGGATGCAGATTGTCTCATGAGAACCCTGTTAAAGAATATACATTGGATGAGATGTACTGCAGATGGAGCCTAAACTCCATATTCCTAAACTGGACTGCTGTCTATTGTATAAGAGCAGACCCCATAGAACAGAATAAGAGTGTTCTGATTTGTAAAGCCTCTTCCAGGTGTAGGAAAGGGTTGTCTCATTCTGATGTCTCCGAGGTAACGGCAAATAACTTTCTTTAGGTTAATGGAATGCCTACATAATGCATAAAAAAAAAGTTGAACACAACAAGACTGGAATGCCTCTTTAATGAGAAAGCACGAAATGGAGATGTAAAATCCAGAGTAATAAAAGAAAATAGAAAAACCCAAACACGTGGACCCGTGGATGTAACATATTGCCAATAGGAATAACAATAGCTTAATTGAGGCAATTTGAAATATAATATAATATAATATAATCTCTATCTCCGTGTGGGGACGCCTTAAAAAAAAAAAAAAAATAATATATATATATATATATATATATATATATATATATATATATATATATATATATATATATATATATATATATATATATATATATATATATATATATATATATATATATATATATATATATATATATATATATATATATATATATATATATATATATATAAAATAAAGAAAGAAAAATATATATTTTATTATTAAATTTTATTTTATTTATTTAAAGGGGGTCCCCACACAGATAACGTTTAAGAACCACTACTCTGAATCCAAAAATTAAGTACCAGTAGCGCAAGTAAGAACTAAATTACTACACTAATAATGAACAAACTGTGATTAAAACAATAACAAAAAGATTTTGAAAATTAGCATTCTATATACTTCATTATTGACAGAAACAGCAATAGTTTGTAAACGTATATCTCTGACAAAACTGGATGTCAATAACTCGTGAAAAAAAAAATTAGTACTGCCATGGTACCGAAGTATCGAACACTGATCCTCGAATACTGGCAATAAACCCAAGCCAGTCCCTGATAGCAGAGACCCACACGCTGACCCTGTCCAGTCCCACAGACCCACATGTTGACCCTGGCCAGTCCCTGATACCAGAGACCCACACACTGACCCTGGCCAGTCCCTGATACCAGAGACCCACACACTGACCCTGGCCAGTCCCTGATACCAGAGACCCACACGCTGACCCTGGCCAGTCCCTGATACCAGAGACCCACACCCTCATCCTGGCCAGTTCCTGATACCACAGACCCACACCCTCATCCTGGCCAGTTCCTGATACCAGAGACCCACACGCTGACCCTGGCCAGTCCCTGATACCAGAGACCCACACTCTCACCCTGGCCAGTTCCTGATACCAGAGACCCACACGCTGACCCTGGCCAGTCCAACAGACCCAAACGCTGACCCTGGCCAGTCCCACACGCTGACCCCGGTCAGTCCCACAGACCCACACGCTGACCCCTGCCAGTCCCACAGACCCACACGCTGACCCCGGCCAGTCCCACAGACCCACACGCTGACCCCGGCCAGTCCCACAGACCCACACGCTGACCCCGGCCAGTCCCACAGACCCACACGCTGACCCTGGCCAGTCCCTCAGACCCACACGCTGACCCTGCCCAGTCCCTCAGACCCACACGCTGACTCTGGCCAGTCCCTCAGACCCACACGCTGACCCTGGCCAGTCCCTGATACCACAGACCCACACCCTCATCCTGGCCTGTTCCTGATACCAGAGACCCACACGCTGACCCTGGCCAGTCCCTGATACCAGAGACCCACACGCTGACCCTGGCCAGTCCCTGATACCAGAGACCCACACGCTGACCCTGGCCAGCCAGTCCCTGATACCAGAGACCCACACGCTGACCCTGGCCAGTCCCTGATACCAGAGACCCACACGCTGACCCTGGCCAGTCCCTGATACCAGAGACCCACACGCTGACCCTGGCCAGCCAGTCCCTGATACCAGAGACCCACACGCTGACCCTGGCCAGTCCCTGATACCAGAGACCCACACGCTGACCCTGGTCAGTCCCTGATACCAGAGACCCACACCCTGACCCTGGCCAGTCCCTGATACCAGAGACCCACACGCTGACCCTGGCCAGTCCCTGATACCAGAGACCCACACGCTGACCCTGGCCAGTCCTGATACTCAGAGACCCACACGCTGATCTCTGGTCAGTCCCTGCTACCAGAGACCAATACCCTGACTCCTGGCTGGGCTATACCAGACCACACGCTGACTTGTCAGTTCTCGACAGAGAGACCCACACGCTGACCACAGTCCCCAGAAACTAGAGACCCACATCGCTGACTCCTGGACAGTCCTCCTTGATACCAGAGACCCACACTGACCCTGCCAGTCCTTTCGATACCAGAGACCCACACGCTGACCCTGGCCAGTCCCTGATACCAGAGACCCGCTGACCCTGGCCAGTCCCTGATACCAGAGACCCACACGCTGACCCTGGCCAGTCCCTGATACCAGACCCACACGCTGACCCTGGCCAGTCCCTCAGACCCACACGCTGACCCTGTCCCTGATACCACAGACCCACACCCTCATCCTGGCCCCTGATACCAGAGACCCACACGCTGACCCTGGCCAGTCCCTGATACCAGAGACCCACACGCTGACCCTGGCCAGTCCCTGATACCAGAGACCCACACGCTGACCCTGGTCAGTCCCTGATACCAGAGACCCACACGCTGACCCTGGCCAGTCCCTGATACCAGAGACCCACACGCTGACCCTGGCCAGTCCCACAGACCCACACGCTGACCGGCCAGGTGAGCTGTGAAGTCCCAGGTAACTCCCTTGCTCAGGCCTGACTGGTTATATCTCCATATAGAGCCCGGCCCGGGCCCCCCCACCCCTCACACAGACTATATTGGAGAACCCCTGCCCCGGCCGCTCACCGGACTCCTCGTCCTTCTTATCGAACTTCTTCAGCATCTCTGCACCAAAGCGAGCACGACCACTTCCTGCCAGGCTGTCACCGGGACACGTCACCCCTGACAACGCAATCCGCGCATGCGCAGCCACAAGCCACGGAGTACCAGGATCAGGCGTAGTGAACGGGGCGGGGCCGACTGCGAGCACGCGCAGGTATCACCTCTGTGCAGCCACAAGGCAAGGGCTGTAAGGCGCATGTTTACAGAGGCGAGAAGTGCGGAGGGCGCGTGCGCAGAAAAGGGGCGGAGCTGAAAGCATCAACCCAAAGCGAGAGGAGAGTGATAGGTAGGAATTCAAGACAGCACATGCGCAGTCTGATCCAGGAAGTGCACTGTAATCTGTCTAAACGCTAGCTGTATTATAGCGCCCTCCAGTGGTCACTTTATATAGTACTAAAATGAGAAATTAAAGGAGGACTATCACTTCTATTGGAATTACACCTCTTAATAATTCATTGAAAATCCCTCTGCTTGGGAGATAATTGGATTAGTAACTGTACTAATTCTAATCCAATTCAGGGGTTCAGGAATTTCCTGGAAGTCTTATTTTTGACTGACCGTGCACATGGTCCCATGCCCAAAACAGTTCCAGAAAATTAGTTCTAACGGTCGGTCTCTTTGTCTGGAGTACAAAAGTACATACTTCACTTGAACAGAGCCTTTTAAAGTATTTTAGCCAGGTCTATTGCAGGGGCCATAGTTACAGGGTAGGAGGCTGACAGGCCACTCCAAAAACCAGTGGCGAAGTTACTTTCATCACAACTTATTAACCTTTTTTTCATATGGTGCTTCGTTTTCTTTTAAACGTGCTACTCTAAGCACCAAAAACACTTCAGTGAATTGAAGTGGTTATGGTGCCTATAGTCTGTTTAACATACCTCCCAACATTGGCACACTGGTTCCTCTCTGCTAATGAATGTTGACTGCTGTGGCTTCTGCAGCAGTCAAAAGCATGTAACTGGACCACCAGGGAGCATCGGAGCCCTGCGGGGTAGTAGATGTAGTAGTTATGATGCTTGGAGTGACCCTTTAAAATTTTTGTAAATGACAACAAAGCCAAGAAAAACATTTCAAATAGAGATAGAGAATGAAACATTGTTTAATGTCTGCTTTTCTGCTTTCTCTATACTGACTTCCAGGACATAAGTAATGACTTGACAGGGAGCTAAGGTGCAGCCACCCAATTGCAGGATAAACAGGATAAAGTTTCCCTTTATTAGCAATGGATCTCAACTAGCTGGGGTAATATTGTAGCAGATTTATTTCACAAGAGAGACCCAGATGCAAGGTCTTCATTTGAAGGAGTGCTATGACCACTAACATACATCCCTAAACTGGTAATACATGCCCGCCCACAAGACTTATCAGCCCACAGGACATATCAGTCTGGCGTCAACACACACTAGGCTGATCGAAAGCCTCTAGGACAGCCCCACACACAGAAGACCTTGCAGAGGGTACTGTTAAAGCACTCTCTGCTTGGGCGTATTTTCCTCCACATACAACAAACGTGTCTAATTATGCAATGGCACTGTGCTGTGTGCTAGACACATGGGGAATAAAACAGGACAATGAGATTGTCCTACTGTCCCAAAAAACAGGAAATAGAGATTGTCCCTCCAGAAGCATTACAGGGTAGGCCATTGGTAGGCCAGCACAAAGCAGCTTGACATACAAATGTATAGATCTACAGATATAATAAATAAAATATGGTACTGACAACGGTTACACGCCTGACTGCAGAAGTTAACTCTGTAGCACTGTATTTTGAACTTCCAAATCTCTCCATAATTCATCTTCCCTGATAAAGGGTCAAACTTTCTTGCAATGATTTGCCTCTTGAGTGGTCATGCTGAGCGCTGGCCTCCTCCTGGTGGTGGCTAATATCGCCATTCATTGATTGATTGAGAGTGTGAGCTAAAAGTTCTCTTGCAACGAATGAAACTCTGCATTTGGAGGTCTTGGCGTATTTTGCAAAGATTCCTGAAAGTGAAAGATCTGCTTTAAGCTTTTAATTATAACAAATTAAAATACAAATGAGAGAAAAGTAACCGAACTTGAAAACATGTTTCAACTCAGCTATAGTCACTGCTTGGCAGCTATCCCCTATGTTTTGTTTTGTATCTTTAGGGGTCACTTTAATGGTTTTTTGATTGTTTATCTTGTATTCTATTACATAAAACAATGACGGGGGTGGCGGGCCTGACCTTCATGGTGGTAAGGTATGTATAGGGAGAGCATTCCTAATTGTGATTATAAAGCTGCCAGCAGCCTTTAACCCCTTAAGGACACATGATTGAAATATTCTGTCATGATTCCCTTTTATTCCAGAAGTTGTGTCCTTAAGGGGTTAATCATTCACCAGCGACAACTACTTGACCCAGCACACAGTAGGACCCTTCAATTGTTAGCTCCAGAGTCCCAATGCCAATCTAGAGCACCTATCTGTCCTGCCTTGCCTACAGGAATGGAACTGTCCATACACACCTTTTTTCTGCATGGACTTAGAGCATGTTTGATACCTGCTTGCCACAAGTGGTTTACAAATTACCTTCTGGGGAGAAGTCGGGGACTGTGTCTATGCTAAGGAATTGGCTGTATTTGTGTGGTGGCATGTACACATCAGTCACAATAGCTACAGAGGCTAAATGTGCCATTTTCTTTTCTTGTGCTATTTTCTTTTTATTTCCTTGTATTTAAGCTCTTTTTTGCAGATTGCTGAGTAAATGCCCAACTCTATCTGTCCCTTAACTAGATATACATAGGTTTCCTTGGTAGTTATATGCACCCTGTCTTAGATACCTAGTCCCATTATTGTACACTCTCTTTTGCTATGCAACGTTTATTTGGGAAGGTTATTCTTATTCTTATGTTTACTCATCTTACTTTACATTTAAAATGAGGCCAACATCATCTAAATGTGACCTAGTGCATAATGTTCCTTAGTGTAACAGAGCTCCAGTACTCCAACCAAGTACCTCCGTTGATGGATGCTCCTAGTGCTTCCTGAGGGCTCCAAGCACTTCTCCAGACACCATAAGCACTGCAGACCGAACCTCTCTTCCTGCAGAGAGCAAAGCTGGAACAAGCTCTTAAAAGAGCTTAGTGATTATAGCTAGAGGAGTATGTAGAGTATTGCAATCCCCCAGTGTAAATGCCGCCTTTTCCCCCCAATCATGAGACGAAGCTCTATGTTGAGGGTCAAAACGGGAACTCAGCAGTATGAGGGTTTATTGGCACTTAAATGCAACTTTTCCCACAAGGTTACCACCCACGTGGTCTTGTGGAACAACCAATCAAAACATTACAACACAGTCAAACACTCCCATTCATTCCAGCAAAATCCTCCCCTCTGCCTGTGATAGAATTACTGTACACAGTGGGCTAATGTAATTATCACAGGCAGGAAAATACACAGTTTTACACAATATTTATAACTTTAAAAGTATACATCACATTCACATAAAACTTACATTCTGAACCAGCATACACAGTATACCAACATATCTCAAAATCATACAAATTGGTCCAGTGGTTCAAAAGATAGATGGAAGTCCTATTTGACCGACTGCAAGCATGGCCTTCCTGCCCCAAACCAGTTCCACAGAGTTAGGCTGTGCAGCCGGTCTATCTTCTCCTCTATCCTGGAGATAATTGGCTTAACTGGGTGTGGTAAGCCAATTATCTCCAGGTACAGAAAATATCTCCATTCACAACAGCAGCAAAAATACATAATTCCCATTACACTGAACAGAACCCCCACATTCAACCTATCCCCAGATAGCTTGGATCTGAGCGCTCAATATATCTGAACAGCGCTCAGATCCCACGAACAAAATAAAATCACCATGGGGTTAAAGTTTAGCACGGGCTGATGAGAGGTTGAGGAGGGACAAAGCAGCCAGTTTCATTTAAAGGGCCAGAACAGTCTTTTAAACACCAATAAGTCCAAATAGTGTTTTTAAAGGGCCATACACCCCAGGGCCATAATCATGGGGAAGGAGGCTGGCAATCAGGCTTCTCCATAGGCCAGGGGAACAGGGTAGTTTGTCAAATGAAAAACCAGTGAGAAAAGGCCTTTTGTCACACTAAGCATTTGACAAACATAGCAACAATTTCTTAAAATATCATGAGATTGAATGCCTGGACTGTACTTTATTATATGACTGCATATGCCACTGTAACACTGAAGTGATGTTTGTTATACCTTTGCCTCAATAAAAAATTATTGACAAAAAATAAAAATAAAAAAAACAATGACAGTGCTTTGGTGTGAATATAGCAATCTTGAACTGTATGACACAAGTCAGTTACTGTTCCTAATGGAATTGTTAGTGACTAGGTTTACTCACTAAGTAGTTCATTTTCATTTTAGTGAAGAAGAAAGCACTGCACTTCCAGGTTTGAACACAATGTACTCAATGGAGAACAAGATGACAGCTTCCACCTAATTACCAGAATTGAGAAGCTCTATACCTCATTACCATACATTATACTAATAAGAGCCTCGTAACAACGCTCAATAAAATGTTAGTATTATCATTTCAAGTACCCCACTGTAATATGACACTAATTCATTCCATATCTCTGTGCTAATTATTCTCCCTTTAGAGTGAACTCTATCTATGGTGTCTTATGATCTTTAAATTAGCACATGACTTCGGTAAAGGTCGGGAGTATATGGAAGGGCCTTTAAAAAAATATAGCTTAATCTTTAATAACTAAACATGTTTGAACAGTTATTCAACTTAGTAAATATCCCTCCTTTTCCTAAGTGCAAACATTCTAACATGTATCAAGTTTTAATACAGGGTGCTACTAATTGATTGGATAATATAAAAAGTATACATACGGTAGTATGGTTCATCCATAAACATGATAAAATCCAGATTTAAATGAAAATGCTGGGCAGAATATTCCCTGCGAGTCCTCTTTTTTTTCGAGTCTGCACACAGCACCTGTACTTTGAACAAATCATCAGGAGCTCTCCTCTTATCTCCC